AAGCTGAAATTCTGTGAAAATGATAAGAAACAAATTACTTGCTATGTTTCTTTTTTAAGGTGCAAATTTTATCAAGACATCAACGGGCAAAGAGAAAGTCAATGCTACACTGCAAGCCGCATATGTGATATGTCAGGCTATCAAGCAGTTCGAGATTGCTACAGGTTTGCAAAAATTGGTTTTTTTTCGGATAGTTTTTTGGTTTTTTTTTTTTCCAAGATTGAGGAAACAACGGCCCTGCTGTCGAAAAGGGGCAAGTAATGTAATGGTTTAACACGTCACGATTCGAAGGTTCCGGAAGTAGTGGAAATGAGAAGTTAAATTCCCACTGTTCTATATCTTCCAGTAAGGGAGCTTCGTTCGCACCACTAGTGAAAGCATTAATATTTCTTAAAAATTTACTGCATATTACCAAATTGAGTGCATTGTAGGGAAAAAGGTTGGTTTGAAAGTAGCAGGTGGTATAAGAACAGCACTGGAAGCGCTACAGTATCGATGTCTGGTGGAAGAGATGCTTGGTGACGATTGGCTTACACCAGCGCTGTTTCGCATTGGTGCAAGCAGTTTGTTAGATGGCATTCTACAGACTTGATGTTTTTTGATTTTTTTTTAATGTAAATCCGAGAAAAAGCTCTATAATCTAGGTGAGTTTTGTCATTTCAATTAATTTACAAGAGCTGGAAAATTGAAACTGTGGATAGAGAGTCCTGAAATTTCTAAGATCTTATGAATCTGAAATCATCTTTTAATTGTCACTGACTCATCCTTACCGCGTGATTCTTACTAATGGGCTGTATCGGAAATGGAAAAAACACTTGATACTAAATGTTCTGAAGAATTATGTAGTGGAATTTATGCAGTGAATAGTTAGAACTTCTTCCAAGATCCTACTCTGCTTTAGTCCTCGACCTAGACCCGAACGAGCCGTTTTGGTAATTTTTTTCGCGAATTTTTTTAAATTTTTTTTTCTTTGTAACGTGCCGTTTTTCGAATTCTGCTTTCACTGCAATGCAAGGTATTAAAATTTGTTTTTTGAGTTTTTTATCCGTTAAGGTCGCGTGGTTTCACGTCTGTGACTGGACTGAAATTGTAGGTCAGTAGCGAGACAGTTCATTAACGCAAAAATTTCGTGCTTTTCATGACCGCGATTTAACATCAATTATGGTGAAATCCGTGCGTTTTTTTACACCAGACATCATGTACTCGCCTTTAGTAGTTTATTGTTTAGACATATATTTGTACTAATACCATCGTATTCACTACTAGCTACCGTATATTTGCGCATTTCATGGTCGTCTTGTTCTTTCACTACTTATATCACTGTTACAAGTGAAATTATCATATCATTTTGTCCAAACATTTCTTTTTTATTCCTACAGCTTTAAATTTTCTATTTAGTCTTAAAAAATTATGTATTTGATTGCATTCCAAATATTTTTGTTACTTTGAATAGTTGTTGTTTCGTTGTCATATTTTTGTTTACGGTACTGATGCATCCGGTAATTTCTCCATTCTTCTCTGTTTTGACCTCTCCCATTCACATAATTCTATATAGCCGTTCAAGCGAATCATTCTGCAGCAACAAGTAACATTCCTTATATTCTTTTAACACTGTGGCATCACAAGGCGCTCCAGCAGTTCTTATGGGACGGGGCGGGGCTCAGTTTCTGCTGTTTGGGGACAATTATGATCGAGATTAATTCTCAGATATCTATGCAGAGTACACAAGAAACTGAAAATCCAAATATCGCCCCTTCACCCGTCCAAGTAATCCTCACTGATCCGAGTAAAAAGATAGAGATGTTCCAGGTAAAAAAAATTAAGTGTTCTTTGCTCTAGAGAATCCAAGTACAGCACAGTTGTAAATGCAGTACATGGGCAGTTGAGGGAAATTACTTGGAATTTGGGATTTGGGAATTCGCAGCTCGGCGTTAAAGTAAACAACTGCCCGAGTAATTGTCCGAGTAATTTGTCCGAGTAACTGTCCGAGTAATTTTACCTCAATGTTCGGGTAATCTGCGGCAAGGGAGGGAGGTGGAGTTTAGGTGCGGAACGCTTCGTTGCATAGCGTCCCGTTGCATTTCATTTTGTCTTTTGCTGGTGTGGCGTGCGGCTGCGTTGAGCTGCTGCTCTGCGGGATGTGACAGGACGCCTGGAAGTGGCAGTGTTTTTACGCGTTGTTGTACGTGAGGGGGAAGGGCGGGGGGAGGCGGGCTGGGCAAAGGGGTACTTCTTGTGCAGGACAACACTGAGTGTCCTTTACTCTAGAGAGTCCAAGTACTGCACGACTGTAAATGCAATAGTTGGACAACTGAGGGAAAATTTTTTCGAAATTACAGTCTGTGTCTGTTTATTTGTTTGTGTGTGTACATGTATTAGTGTGCATGTCCGTGTCTATGTTTGTAATTACATCTGTATGTGCTTTTGTGTACATTTGTGCTTATGTGTCTTTGTGTGCGTCTCTGCTTACGTGTCTGTGTATATGTTTGTATGTGCGTATTTGTTTGTGTTTTTGTCTATGTCTATTTTTTGAGCATCGCTACCTTATCCGATCTAAATATTATCATTCCTAGACCATGATGAGGGTATATCCTTATTTGTTGCATATTTTGATGTTCCAATGCTTTTCTATTGGTTTTCCACATATTTCAAACTTGAACAAAATAAACTTGAAAGTTATTTCTTGCTTTCGAAAATCGTAAAGTGGAAGTTTTATCCCAGTAGCAAACATTTCTATGAAAAATGAAATTTACCCAGATTCACCTCGGTTTTTACAGTCTTATGAGGCTGTGTCAGGGCAATTACCGGAATTATATTAAACAGGTTGAAGAGACGGTGAAGAGTGAGGGTAGTGGTAAAAGAGCGCGAGGAGGGGAGGAGGTGGGAGAGGAGAGAAAAAGGGGTGAGGGTCAAGGATGTTCATTCAGGTCTCAGAGTTATAATGTAGGGGAGTGGCGGGCTTATTGACTGGAAAGACGTTGGTTGGAAGAGGACTTGGAAGTAGCCGGGGTTCATGTTTGGAGCCAACTTCGAATACTCGTTTCCCTCTCTACGAGTACCATTTACTGAAACCAGGTCTTATAATGCAATAGTAAATTTGATGGTTTCATGTGGTTTATGTGCTGTTTTTGCTTTAGCAGATAACTATTTTAAAGCTTTGATGAATAGTAATTCATAGTCTGATTCTGCAACTGTTTAGCTGGCAACTTTTCCATTTGCTTTGACCAGTGCTGCTTTATTTACTGGTCATTCTGCTAATAGTCCTAGTCCTGGTATTTCGTCTCCTGAAGAAATCGCTCGCATAGCCTCTCCTCCAACTGAAGCAGTTGTCTAGGGTTTGGTTGTTCCGAGGTATCACTGGTTCACCACGTTTCGCACGTTACCGCTTCTATTGTCCAGGCAGTTTCGGATTCTTCGCTTGTTTCTCGAATTACAACATATCTCTGGAGCGGTACTCCTAGAACAGTAGATGTTGAAGCGGTGTTCCCACGATGATGATACATTATCAACAGAGAGCTGATTATTCTGATAAGCGAAATATCAGGGTCATATTCAGTAAAATACTAATTTAAGGACAACACTGATACAATGGCACCGCTATCCTACGTAATCGTAGGAGGTGGCGTAGCTGCTGTTTCATGTGCTGAAGAGTTGCGTGCTATGGATGATGAGGCTCGAATTACTGTCATATCAGCAAGTCAGCTTATCAAAAAAATTGTTAATCAGCAAAAGGTGAAACTTTTTGTCCTTTTTTTTCCAAGTGATAAGTTTCCCGATCTTTAACGATGCAACTGGCAACTTTTCCAGCGATTACGAATTTATACTTTGCGCGTGCCCCTTCCGTTCCAAATAATCGGATTAACGAATCTGCCTAGCATATCAGCTGCCTTCCTACAGTTCTTTGAACACATTGTATGATAACATTTAGCTGTTCGTTTCCTCTCGTGATCTTTGCCATATTTCTGGTTAAATTTTTTCTTTTGGCATACTTTCCTTTATTTTAGAATAGTAGAGATATTATGATATATATATACATATATGTAAAATATGGAATTATATAAAGAAAGCTATTTTAAAAAAATCGGCTAAACAGGAATGTTTTGATTCATTAACTCGTGGACATTTTTACTGGGCACCACAACTGAACTTCGTCAGTGCGACGGTTGTAATGTTTTAAGAAAAATGAATGAAACAACGATTTATTATGCGTTTTACATCAGAACTTGTTCACAGCATGTCGTTGGTGATGTATTGTCTCCTGCTGAAAATTAACATTCGTTTTTTACTGATCTTTGTTTGTCACTGCTAACTAGCTTCCTACACGGTTTTTTAAATTCCATGTTTTGGATCTATAAACCATTGTAGAAGCTTTTTCTTGCGGAAGCAGAATTTTTCTGAATTTAAAAATTTCAAAATTATCAGGAATAGCATTCGTTTGGGCAACAAGTTTGGGAAACCTAGTAATGCTGCTCACATACGTGTTGCTCACTGGTTAAAAGCAGTTATGCCTGAACTGAGTTTAGGTCCCCAGAAATTTTCTTGCGTGCATTGCCCCAAAACGAAAGGCAACAGTTTCCAGAAAGACCGTTGATTTTAGTCGGATTAATTCAATTTTTTTTTCAGATTGGCCAGTTGACAGAAGCATTTGATATCGCTGAACAGCCGGTGACAAGTGCT